CCCCCCCCCCCCCCTCCCCAGGCGCCGAGCCGCTGCTCCCCGCCCTGCTCGGACTCTCCGCCTCCCACCCCGCCCTCCTCCGCTCCCTCGGCGTCGACGTCGCCCTCCTCGCCCCCGAGCCCGCCCTGCCGGCGGTGGGCGGCTAGCCGCGAGTAGCCGAGAGAGTAGCCGAGAGGAGCCGAGAGGGGCCGAGAGGAGCCGAGAGTAGCCGAGAGAGGAGCCGAGAGGAGCCGAGAGGAGCCGAGAGGGTCCGAGAGGCAGCCGAGAGGGGCCGAGAGGAGCCGAGAGGGGCCGAGAGGGTCCGAGAGGGTCGTGACACGCGCGCACGCAGACCCCACCATGCACGCACGCTCCGCACACCCCCTCCCCCCCTCTTCCCCCTCTTCCCTCTCCCTCCCCCTCTCCAGGTTCCGCCCGGCGAGATCGAGCGCCTCATGCCGCAGCAGCCCTTCAGCGAGGCGTGCCGAGATGCGCCGAGATGAACCGAGAGGCGCCGAGAGGCGCCGAGAGGCGCCGAGAGGAGCCGAGAGGCGCCGAGAGGAGCCGAGAGGCAGCCGAGAGGCGGCCGAGGCACAGCGAGGCGTGCGGCGCCGGCTGGAGGCGCCGACCCATGCTGGTGGAGTCCGGCTCCTCCTGCGCACCAGGCGTGCGGCGCTTTTGGCGCCGACTGCTCCATCTGCATGTGCCCGCACGACGCCTCCGACGCGGTGCGTGTGCTGCCCTGCCGGTGCGGCCGCCCCTGTCCGCCCAGCCCCCTCCGAGACCCGAGCCCCCTCCCTTCGCAACCTGCCTGCCCCCCTTTCCCCCATATCTACTGTTGTGTGCTTCCTAGTGGTTTCAACTTGCCTGCTGGGACGCGACCTTTTCCTTTTTTCCTATTTGGGCTATCTCCGGTTGTTGTGGAGTCCCCTTGGTTACTCCTTGGGGGGGGTGCTCTCCATTCCCTCATTTATATTCTTTTTTTGCCTATCGTGTGTTCCTGCTCTCCATCTCCGTTTTTTAACCTTTC